TTTTTTTGACAAGATGCGACTGCTCGCTCGCATGTTGGCCTTATTACCCCGCCAATTAAGTTAAGAATAGACATGAAAGTTGCACCAGAGACGTCAGCAGACTGGAGCAATGAAAGGTTTATTTGTGAGAGGCTGTCTGAGGTTGGCAAATATAGAAACATTCTGTGACCAATGCCATTAGGGTTAATTAACCCAGAATCTGCAACTTGCCACAGTTTGAACACTTTCTAACATTTTGCTCTTCCTTGAATGATGTGGAGATTCTGTTTTGTTACTTCTTCCATCATGTACAGTGTCTGTCATTTTGTACTACTGTGTGAATCTCAGCAAATATTGTCTTTTGCATGGTCGTCTTGCCTCGTGCGCATTTTAATCTTTGTAATCTATTTAGTAGGACTCATGGACACTTGGACTGCTCAGTTGTGACAGTGTGAATGTAACAAAAGATCCAGACTAGGAAATATTTGAGCCTCTCTCCCTTTAAAGAGTCAACACTTCAAAAAAGGTTTTATTCCAGTAGTGTTGTAAAGACATGGAAACTGAGGAAACCGACCGTTTTACACACAACATCTGTGTCAAACTTGTTTTCCAGAAACTTATAAAACTATTTAAACAGCTTTTTTTTTAAGTCTTCACAGCCACAACTGATTTGTTTTAACAAGAGTAACTTTGTGTAGCAGATGACTCAAAACTAATAAATGTCTATAATTAAGATCTCTGCATGAGGAGAATTTGTCCACAGTTTTACACACATGATATATATGAAAAAGAAAAGACTATGTGACAATAGCAGTGGTACAAGCCTGAGAGAAATTTAGATTTTTGCCAGATTTCTGGTCATAGAGGAGAAGAGCATGATTAAAAACTAAAAAAAAAAAAAAAATGCCAACATATGAAGTGGTCATGCACTTTGTTGGAAAACAAGAAATGATAATATGCAGTTTACAAAAGATAGACTAAAGAAGACATTCAGCATAGTTCTGCATACATTTTTGGTCCTATGCGGATTAAGACTGATTAAATTTTCTCTGAACATGTCAACAATTTTCTTGAAGGGAAAATAAATAAGATTAGAGCTGGTCTAAGCAGAATTTGATTTAGGCTCCTCATTCCAGTTCACTTTATTTAACTAAATAAATTGTGGAAGAAGGAACAGCAACATTAAACTTTGACTTAAGATAATTATCAAACTACTATTTTTCTTTATGTAATTATTTCAATCCTGAAGAAATGTAACTTCAAAAATAAGCTCTTTTTTTTTTTCAAACTCTCAAAAGGTTTTAGCATTTAAACCAAGGCTTCATCCAAATAAAACATTTGCTTAGATCTAGGATTTATGTCAAAGTCAAGTTGAGGGCTTTGTTGTTGCCAACTGAAAGAGCAGTGGGAAACCAGTTGTGATCCTGTAGCTTCTATTACCAGCATAAATCTCCATTCGAAGCATTCAAACACTAACTATATGTTGGCAATTAGAAGTTGTACCCTCCAACCAAACAGTTTATACCTGCAATTTTTACTATATCTCATATGCATGGCAGCCATATTGGATATTGAAAATCTAGTTTTGAGATCAATTTTCACTTTAGAGGGCCCCCTACTGGTTTGGGAGCAGCTAAGCTGAGTCTCGATTGCCAAAGGCTGGCTCTGGTGTTCTTTGTATTAGACCAAAATTCTGAAGTGGTGCAGTTATGTTAGACGTGAAATGTTGGTGGCTGAGTGGTGTGCTATCAAGTAACAGCTTGAAATAATACAGAAGGTCACCTACACTCACATCAGCTGTAGAAACTTATCCAGAGTCAGTCTCGTTGAATATTGTGCAAAGAGGAGAAAGACTTTTGGTGGATTTTGCACATTTGGATTAAACTTATACAATGATTTTAGCTCGAGGAGGTTACTTGTTAAAGGTGTATTTTTGTTTCTAAAAACATTTTGGACAAATGGAAATTTTATAAGCAAGTGTAGCTAGCAGCTTCAGCTGGTTTGTGTTTCTGTAAGCTGTAACTGATCGAACAGCACATTAATTATGGACGACAACAAACCCATCGCATTAAACTCAAGTAATAGCTAACAAACGAGGGAGACACTTCATTTTTGACCAGATATTTGCAGCGCCCTTTATAATTATCAGTGAAGCCTTAAAACAAAGTCATATTTTCTTGCAGTAGCATAATCTCGAACCCATTGAGGGGGAAAAAAATAAAACATCATGTAGGAATTTGTCCACTTATGAAAATCTCGTCATGAGGAAAATTAAACCCATGTTCCATCATATTTACACCCAACTGAAGCTTAACGTTTCTGATAACCAATTAAAAGTTCCACTCTGATTGATTTTAAGTCACATATGGCACAAGACCCATTTTTTTTTAAAAAAAAAAGGGGCGCCAGCTGATTGGCTTTAATCGTGTGCCTTGTGTGATGTCTCTGACCCAAATACATAAAGAAGAATTAGCAGTTTTTTTAATTTTGTGAAATTCTGCAAGGGAGATCCATAGCTACTCTGTAGTGCTGTGAATTTTACTCTCAGTACATTTAACGTTTTTTTTTTTTTTTTTTCCTAAATTATTAAAGTATACTCAAACTGAAGAATTTTAGTTTGAGGGGATTTTTATTTTCTAAAGTGATTATTATGCTGCTGCAGCACTTGATCCAGTCATTTTCAGGCTTTTTTTTTTTGCACTCTTAACAGGAGCGGAGAGAACCTTTTTTGCAATCTTATACTAAACATGACAGATTTTAGGATCCTAAAGAAAACTTCATCTTGTTTTGGCTCTGTAACACTGGTGACATGTTGTCATGGTGTTTAATCGCTGAACCTGCTGCTTTTCCCGCACGCTTAATGACATCGTACTCCATTCACATTTATAGCAAACAGATTTAAAGAGACATCCTGAGAGTATTGACAACACTGACAGACATCAGCTTCATAGCAGCAAAATAAAACTGAATCTGAAACAACACAAACACTGCAGGCAGAAAAGTTAGTAAGCTTTTAACAGTAAATATGCACAATAAAGTGGTTAGTTGGTATAAATAAATGTGATACTAAAACTCACAAGATTCGTATGAGGTTTATAGACAAAACAACTATCCTGCCTTATATTTTGTGCTTCTGATCTTTTTAAAACGTTCACTGATAATTAATAAACTTTTCCTCCAGTTACAGTAAGCCATGCTGAAAAACGTTGGTTCCTTCGGCCTCCACCTATAGTTTAACATATCGTAGTTCAGGTTTTAAAAAGAACGTCCAAGGATTTAATTCTAAATTAAGAATTTTGTTTCTCCAGACCACCTAAAGTTTGGTGGATATGTGACGTGTCTTATTTTAGAAACACTGAGCAAGTTATCGAGATAGTGCGATAGAATCCTTGCACGACAGCAGACAAATGACATCTGTTCATTTCCAACGCAGGTAAAACACGAGTAAATCGCTGGCGTGACGACACTTGGATGGCAAAATCGCTGAAGTTTAGTTGAGGTGGAGGAAAAAAAAAAAAAAGGAGTTACCAAAACAACAGTTGTCCGACGTGGGATTCACCTGAAATGAGAGGAGAAACTGTTCTTAGTCTGAGAGGTTTGATTCATTGTAACACATTATCACATGATGAGAAGGAAGTAAGCTCCCATCTGATTTGGAAGTCAGGAATGTCAGGTAAACAGGACGTCATATCTTCCTTTAAGGAAGTGAATTTGTGTGTGCTAGCTGAGGAACAATTGAAAGTGCGGAAGGGTGAAGCCTAAAGTCAACAGCAGAGCTGAACCAAAACTTCAGAAGAAGCATGTTTATTTGGGTGCATGTTAAAAAGCGCTGACTTTAATGGTTGCCGGGGGTTATATTACTTTTCCAAATGTCCTCTGCGTAATTAAAATGATCCAGAGTAACAAAAGGAGGCGGTAGAGGTGTTTCGGTATGCCAGGAATTTTATCTGCAAACTTTCACAGTCAAAGCAGAAGTACGAGTTGCTTTACATGTAGGCAAACTCCACCTTATACAGTGATAAGACAAGAGAATTATTAGTAAAAAGTAAGTAAGTGCAAAAAGTAATACAGCTTCAGTTTATTCTGGGTTTGTCTTCAGGTTTACTTTGTAGGAGGAGCATGATGTGGGTTTTTTTTGTTGCGGGGGGTGGGGGGGCATTCTCACATTTCTGTTGGGGAAAAAAAGATTGTGACTTCTAAAACTCCTCAGTTGTGACGAACTTTTCTTTCATTGTTTCATTGTTTATTCGTTTACTTAAATTAGCAGAACAACTCACTTAGCTTTGCATGACTTCAGAAAATTGCTAATTTGTACTTACTGAAACTTGGAGTGTGCATTTAAAAGCTAGAGAATTTTTTTGCTTAGTTTTTTTTTTTTTTTTTTTAATGTTGAAACAATGCATGTGTCCTATCATCTGCACGGAACCGACCTGTATTTGACATCAAAGAGGGTCGAGTCATCTTCGTCGTCATTCTCCTCGTTCAGAGGGGCCATCTCCACCCGCTCCGCCGGGGTGGTAATGATGTCGTACTTTCTCGTTTTCCTGATTTTTCGGCCAGACCTGTGATAGAAAACATGTGAGAAGAACTTAGAGCACTAAAGTTAGTCAGAGCATCTGTTTATATAAAACCAGATAATCACCTTCTTACCCAACCATACAGTTTCCTAAGCCGGCGTTAGGACTTTAGAGTTGTCTGTATGTTTTAGTATCTCTGGTGTTCATCTCAAAATTTTTTTTGTTTGTTTACTTATAGTTTGATCACTTTTATTGTGCCTTTGAGAATTTATCTGTTCTTAACCTCTGCAGAGCTCTTTTATTTGTCTTACACTCATCGAAAACTCCAAATTAAGATTGGCTGCCTGACTGATTAAAGTAAACTGCCTGCTGCAGGATCTAACCAGCTTAATATCAGTCTGTTATTCTTATATTAATGCAGAACCACACAAATCTATATTGTCTGCAATATGAAATTGGAAAATTTCATATTCAATGTTTATTACATATTTTTGTTCATTTGTATGTAAAGAAAAAACTATTTATTGATTGCAGTTTTATGCTTTAACTTTAATTACCAATTTTATGTTGTGTTTTATTACTTTAGAATAGTTTTTCCTTTATTACTGTTTAAATAATATAGTGCAAATATCCTAATGACTAAAAACGCACACATGAATTTGTAAGAGCTGCATGTTAGGCAACAGTTTTCTCTATTACATGACAAACAGTTCTCTGTCATGCTTTTCTTTTGATTTAACAATTGATTTAAAACTCCTTCAGTTCCTCATCTACATTATATCCAGAGAATATAAAACAGTCACAACAATACCAGGTTATCACAGTGTAAACAATCACTCTAAGCCTTGGGAGAAGCCTACCTTATCACTTTGATGACCAGGCATGTGATGAGGACAGCTGTCAACACACAGATGAAAATAACGACGTTTTTCAGAGTTGGCAGGTAAGTCATCAGAGGTGAGATCCGGGATCCCACGGCACCGTGCGTGTCGTTTTTACTCGTCAGTTCATCGTGACCGAGGATGATGGACGTGGATGTTGAATTCTGCGTCGCAGATGAAGAATTCGGCGGTTCGCCACTGATCAGACAGAGAGCCGCCGCAATAAAAGTTAAAGCAAGACTGTGCGTCACAAACATGCTGCCGAAATGATTAATATTTATATGGGTAGCAGAGGCTTCAATAGTTTGTTTTTTTTCCCCCCCAAGCAGCAGCTGCTACATTATACACTCATCAGATATCTATATACACCAAAACGCGCAAGGTGAGACGCAAAAATCCATTTGTGCGTAGGTCCAGGCTTCTCTTTCAGTCGTAACTTGCATGAGCTTCCGGAAGGTGTCTTCCTGTAGGTGAGTTATAGCAAATCCCTTCTCGAACTGCGATTAGAGATGAGGGGATTATCCGCCTCCGGAAGAGCTCTGCGGGCTGGCCCTCTGCTCCCGGTGCTGAAGAGGAGAGTTATGAGGGCTGGTGCTGCCTTCAGGTCAGTCATGTACATCCCAACTCCTGCTGAGCTGTTGCCACACAGAGCAGAGATTTGGTTGATTTAAAACCTAAAGCAACAAATAACACTTGGACATTTCTATATTTACAAAAGGCTGAATGCTTTTACGAAAACATTTCTTAAAATATTACCTGGATTTCCCCATTTTGGATCAAACCTGACACAATGATACACTAATTCATTATTTTCTAACTTTTCCCACTCCAAATGTTCTTTCAAGCTTAAAATACTCAAGCTACATCAAAACTTCCTTAAAACTGTTCGCATAAGTATTATTCATCTGCAGATGAGAATCTGAAATAGAGCTGTTGTCATGTCTTTCAAAGCAGTTGATCCTGATACAAACCAAGAGATTAATGTTTGGTTTTTGCGCTTTCCCTGTCATCTTGCTTTATGTGTGGTGACAAGATAAATGTTTAGTCTTCAACCAGCCGTAATTTCTGATTGATAAAATAAACAGGCCTCTGTAACATGCCATGTTAATAGTTTGGGTAAACAGATAGGTGCAGATTACCAATTATAAATTCCAACAAACTTTATTCAACTGAAAGAAGTAAGTTATATTAATTTCAAATGGATTCTGGGGGACATCTAAAATAATTTCAGCAGCATTTTGTTAAAAAAAGTGTGGTTCCTCCCACTTGAACAAACAAAAGCAAT